CTAGCAATAGAGACAACAGAAAATATTACAGATGAAAACCAAAATAACAATCTGCAACAACACTGCACTGCCAAGCACTACAAAATGCAAATGTATGTACTTCAGGAAAATTTAATTTATTATTATGGCTGGTCTGATTGCTATTGCCAAATCATTCCACAATCCTAAAATTAAATAATAAAAAAAAAGAGATGGTTAAAAAAAAAGCTGTGCCTAAATACATAGTTACGGCATTAAAAGGCACACCAATCCAATCCCCCCTTTTTTGTTTGTTTTTTTTTTTTTTAATAAAGAGGGTGTGTATACACATTATGACACTGTATTTACATGTTTGACAGACTACTACTTCCACAGAATCCATTTAACTTATTTAATACTGAATCTACTACAGTCCCTAGCACCACTCTTCCTATAATAAAAGAACCTTCGGGATGGGTACAGTGCTAAATAAAAGCAACCCCATAAATCTATCCTGTACCTTTGGTGTCTCTTCTCCACTCTTAACCCAGTGTCTATTATTTTCATTTGTACATCATGTCTAAATTTAGGGCTGACAGAGCTCTAGTTGTTTACACCAGCTGATCTAAGATCTAGCCCTTTGCACAGAGGTTTTACGGGACATGTATAATGGACCTAGATCCATGAGTTGCCTGCGTAGCCTTGAGCCCACCTGGAGAAGCCAACAAATAGTAATAGTCCCCAAGTTTATCTCCTCCTTTAATGAGGACTCCTTCCCCTACAGTATCCTGGCTAGGAGAAAACCTCTACTACTTCTGAAAGTTGACTGAAGAAAACCATGAAATACCATCTTATATTTGAGAGGTGCAATTAGTTTCCCAGGGACTTACTTGCCACAGAACTAGATGACAAGTAAGTACATCTTCTGATACAGTTATTGTGCATCTCTGGCCCAGCCTAGTTATTCAATTTTGAAAATTAAACAGAAGTCACGATTCCAGTATGAACCTAGCATGTCACTAAAAAGTACATAAAAAATGTTTTCTTCAAACAACAAACAAAATGTTATCTAAACTGTACTTCTGTTCACCAATTTTTCTTAAATTAACATTTACTACGATGGCACTGGGAATAAGAAGGGTGGAGCATTGAGCATGATGCAGTAGAATTATTGCAAAATTCATATTTCAAGCTCCAAATCTGCTGACAGAGGAAAATCACTGAAGTGACAGTCACTGAAGAACAGTAATGTATAAAACAAGACAACGTCATTTTGATTTGATCTGGACAAAACCAAAAAACCTGCATCTGCCTCTCCAATGACGCAGAACAGATTTTTCCTGTTGGCATTTTATTTTACATATATTCTCAAAATATGTTTTTCAGATACCAAGCACAGTCATCAATCTACTCTTTGCAATAAAAGCCTCCGCTGGAGACAGATGAAATGACAGAACATATCTGAGGATCCAGCAAGTTCAGCCAATAGATAGAACGACGCTGGCATCTAAGGAGTTCAAGGTTAATTCCCTTTCTGGAATTAAACAGCAAATGGTACCAGAGTCCAAGCAGGAACTGGGAACAATGCCATGACCGATGCTCTGTTTTTCCTCTATAGTGATCTAAAAATAACCTTTTTGGATGTCTGATGAGAAAAACACCAGCCTGTAAAGCCATGGATATGTATTTCACCACTCCTTTAGCCAAAAACAAGGAAACTAAGATCGAAGAGAGGAACTGAAACAAATCAATGCAGACACATTCACTGTAGTACTTCTGTGTTTTCCTTTTTCCACAGTTCTAGTTTCAGAGAAGAAAAATGTTAGAAAGGAGCTCAACCTTAACAGTCACATTGCCAGATTACAGGTTGTGAGTTTCAGCACTACTGTGTATCCTACAACACCTCTCCTTAAACGGCACATACAAAGAAAAAGGACACCTTCTCACATCAGCTTCATAAGCCCAAACAATAAGGACTGAAAGCCTTTCATTTCTAAGACACTTGTTTGAACCCAGCAGAGTTCACTCCAAAAGACAGCTAAGAGGTACCTTCCCTTCCCATTCAGCTGCCAACTCTTAGTGTGCTTGGTTTAGGGGCAGAACCCCAGACTATCAAAATCAATGGCAATGACTGCAATTATATCCCAGGTATCTGTTTGAAAAGAACTTCTCTCTGGTGCTTTGACAGGTTGTGTTCCCTCTTCTAAGTGTATGTGTTGATGTAAGAGGAAAAAAAAAAACAACAAAACAAACAAAATGCACACCACTCTATTCTGAAGTTTCTCTCCCTAAAGGACAACTTCAATGGCAAACACAAGAACTTATGCTATAAAGAGATTTCAAAATAACAAATTCTCAGCCTGTATTTATTTACACTTAGGAGCAGAGCCAAGGAGGACCCAATCAAATAATTTTTTACAACAAAACAAAAGAAATCCCCCAAATCAATATTTTACTTTTGCCACCTGTAGACAGCATTATCTGTACTTAAACACAACTTAAACACAAATGGATTTACATACCGAATAACACCGTAGGAAGTTAAGGATTTATTAATGTGACCAAATGGTGAAATAAAAACCCCAATATCGTCATTCCACTGCTTTCAATTTCACGCTGAACTTCACTTCATAGTTTATATTAAGACCAAAACTGATAAAACATTCATAAAAGACCAGAGTTGTCATCAAACCCAAAGATGATGAAGACATCTTGGCAACAGACAAGAAAAGAACGATAATCAAAGCTGCATGGACATTTTGTGCCACTATTATTCCATCACCGTATCCTGCTATCAAGTTACTTTGAATAAAAGCAGCAAGATGCAATGCTTTCTCTTATTTTTACCTGTGGAATACTACAATTTACATTTCAAAACCAAAACGGAGAGCCAAGATCATTTTTCAGAAAATGTAATCTTTCCAAGTAAACACCTTCTCTAGAGAAAAACTAGAAAAAGATGACCCAGAGTGAAGTGAAGCGGTTGATAAATGATTCAGCTGCTTCCTGGAAAATCATTTTCAGTTATAAAATGTTCAAATCAGCTCAGGATTTTTAATTCTCTGCTATGCAAGACCAATATATATTTTTAAGGATAAAAAATAAATGCTGTATCCTGACAGCTACTGAAAGGCAAATTCCAGCAAGCAAAGAGCAAGCCTGGAGAACCCTCAGAGTATCATTCTGCGTGACAATAAGCCAAATGCTCAGCTCCAGACTGTTGAAAGGGAACATCTCCCTCCCGCTCCCAGCCATGTGCTTTTGGATATCTCTCATGCTCTCACCAGTAAGCGCTAGACTCTTCCATGTGCTGCTCTATCTTTCTACAGCAGTAGGAAACAAGCCCAGTAAGCAAGTAAGGAGTCCAGTACGGATGGTTTTCTACTGCACTGGGTCATTAAGCATCTTGTGGGAGGATCTGAGAGTCATCAGGACTGGCAGACAAGAAAAAGGACTGGAAAGTACAATGGGCAATAGCAAAGTCAGCGCTGTCCCTTTGGGTGGCAAGGAACCGTTGCCAGTCTAAAGCTGGCTTTGCCACTAATTTATCATGTGACATTAGTCATAACCCTTAACCATGGCTTATTTATCCACTTGAAAATAAGCACAGTTGTCACCTTGCTCGCAAAGATGTAGTGAGAGCTGAAGTCTGGAACTGCCACTGAACATGAAAAAGATATATTGTTATTACTGCATTTTCATAAGCATAACATATGACTGTCTGGGAAAAAAACAAACAAAAAACAAAACAGAAGCTGTGATTTCGTCACAGTCAAGGTTACAGATATGTGCTGGTGGGGACTTAAGAGGCAGCTTTTGAAGAAGTAAAAAGGTAAAAGCGAACAGGAAAAATTACATTCTATCATGACTGAGTTCCAAGTAAAATCAAATGGAAATCAGCTGTCTATTTATAATGGAGAAATAGGCCCTAAATCTTACTGCTAAACAAGCCAGTGTTGAAAGCTGAACATGTCTCTCTTTTGTGTCTCATATCCCTCTGAAACAGGGGCTTGTTATAGCAAGCTCATTCATTGCTCCTCAGAGAACTAGTTGGACAGCTGAATCACTCATGAGCTGAAGCTGCAGTTGATCTGAGTACTTATTTTCAAGGAAAAGTGTTTTTTCAAGAGGTGCAAAATACAGCATTTATTATTTTGCATTATGCTAGCTTTCATCTAGCAACTGAAAACAGCAATAATATCTCATTACAGTAGGGTCAGGAGGTAAAACTCCCTCCCTTGAATACCTTACTGTGCTCAAACCCTACAGATGCCTAAACACATGCTTACAAAGAGTAAGTCAGGATAAGCAAGAATAAATACACCTCTCAACTTGATAGCCTTTCCTGTCTGTCAGTCTATCAGTGGTGGTTTCTAGGGATGGTGAATTTTCAATCCTAAATCTTCAGAGTGTTTTAAACAGGTAATAAAAAGGGGAGACCAAAAGAAGGGAGGGGTTCCACTACCACAGACCAGCAATCACCTTGCATACACCTAAAACCTACTGAATTTGAACAAAGTCTTTCAATTGACTATGGTATGCTCAGAATCTCAGATGCAAGGCCTCATCTAAGTGATGCATACGGGTTATCTGCAAACAACTGCTTTTGCATTTAATGGAGCACGGGCATTCCAGTACCCTACACAGTTTTGAGAAACCCACACTAACTTTGTATTGCACTGTTTCTAAGATTTATCAATAAATGACATCAATAATGATCCCTACACACCAGCAAAACCCACAAAGTCTCTATTTAGATACTGTCATGTATTATAGAAGTCAGAAAACTGTTTTATTGCAGACTGTGAACAGATATTTAATAGATCTCCCTTTGTAAATGAAACCAATTATTTTAAAATTATACCTTTTCAGTTGTAGGCAAGATATAACATCTCTACTGAACTTGTTCCAACTAGTACTAGACATTTCACACATTTTGCATGTACTAGGTTGTCTAACTTTGTTTTATCAAGCTACAATATTAATTTTAAATAAATAAAGTACCACCACTGCACTGTTAACCCAGCAACATATATACATACCTGATACGTAACACTCTTCTTTCCATCATCACTTGTTTGAGGCAAGGTCAAAGGTCCAGAAACTACCCAAACATCCTCAAATCTCTCGGTCAATTCCCGACAATACATTTCCATTCTGGAACATATTTATCAGACAGGGTGAAGTCAGCTGGGAAAACTTAACACAATAATCTATGAAACATACTGTGAAGGGCAAGATACACTACTGATGGTTTGGGAGCATTTTTCTAAACTCATGTGACTGACCCACAGGTCAAACAAAGTAAAAACGTAAGGCCAAGCCACACTTCCCACTTGTCCCAGGTCTGCTTCGTTACAGACAGGCATGTGTTATCATGCACATTTGAAAATGATTTCTCTGGCCGTACCACCTGCCCTGAAAATCTGAATTCTCTACTTCTTCCCACGCTTGACATTAGAAGGATACTGTTGATGGTCACTTGGGATTAGTGACCTGTTTTAAACTGCAGGTTGTGGGGTTATTACTTTCAAAGGTTCTACCATATTACTGGATTTATATCTTCCTCCCAAAGAATCAATGTCCGGCAACGGACAACTCTTTCCATAGCTCAAAGTACTTAGGAAATTTTCTATGTGTTGTTCCCACAAGTCTACTTACTGTTTTTTTTTAATATAAATCTGTTTAAAAATAAAGTAGTAACCCCAGAAACAGTAACATTATTTTTCCTTTTTAAACTAATTGATTCAGTTTACTACATAACATTTTTTCCCAAATATGAAGATTTCTGGATCAGGTCTATTTCACAAAAAACAAAACATTATAGCCTATTTTTGATGTAACACCCCAGGTGTTACAGAAATCACACACAGTGAGGGTCCATTGGTCCTTTACTAAAGGTAAGGGTTGCACTGCACTCAAATAGACACACAGACCAGAACATGAGGCAGATGAGCTCAGATATTCTGGCTGCCTCTGTAAGGTGGATGTTTCACCCCCTTCTCTGTCTCATCCCTCATATCTCTCCTTTGGGCCACCTTTAGCACTCTTCATCTGTCAATAACCCTGATAATATTCTCTTTTTCTTGTGCTGGATTAGTGAGTTAAATCAGCTCACACAAATCAGAATTAGCAGAAATGAGCCCAAGGAGGGATGAACCCCTTCTTCTTTGGTAATAGCTGCACAAATCAGAATTAGGAGGAATGAACCCCTTCTTCTTTGGTAATAGCTGCAACAGGATATGCCAAAGCATTGACCACAAGCTGATTTTTTTCCTGCTGTTGTCAGCTTTGCTTCCAAGCAGCTCAGCTCCCCAGGCTGTCTCCCAGCATGGCCATACAAACATCACCCAGCACAAGGAAAGAATGGGAATAAAGGCAGCTGGGGAGCAAAGTGCTTTCGGTGACAGCAGGGACAGAGATCAGATGACAGTGACCACGAAACCGCACTCAGAACAAGACAGAAAACAACAGTTAAACATCAGGGAAGAAAGAAGCATGCATGTTTGGTGGGTGGGAAGGAATAAATACTAAGGTGCAGTTAGACCACACCACTGAACCAAACCAATAGCTTACTATCTAACAGCTGGCTGAAAGATGCTGACCTGCTCTCCCCTTTCCTACCGCTCCCCTTCTCTGCCCCAGCTGAACAGTCCTACTCCATCTTCCGTCTCGGCTCTGGCACTCATCTCACCAGTTGATCCAATTTTCTAATCTGGCAGAAACATAACCAAGCAAAACAAAACGTGAATCAGTTTAACTGGGTTAGCAAATGGAATTGACTCGCTGCAGTCAGGCTGGTACCAGAGCTGGAACTGGGAAAGCAGCAAAAAGCACGTGGCTGGAGGGCAAACACCGCTTTAAAAAAACCAGCAGATTGTTAAACTGACTAAGCTGTATTGCCTACCTGCACCTCAGAAGACAATTCAAGAAGCAAGCAATTTAAAAAAAAAGAGAAAGGAATAGACTACTGAAGCCAGGAAGGGATACAACAAACGTGAAACATGGTGTCCTTAAATTATTTCTCATTATAACAAGTGACTGACAAAACATGTGGCACAAATACCTTGTTCGTGTATTTAAACCGTGGGGATAAGGTGTTGGGGTTGGAAGAAAGTGGTAGCAGCTGCTTAAATTGTGGGGCTGATAGTGTGAGGGGAAATTTTCAAACACTCCCCACGATTTCCTGATTAGGGACAGATCCTACTCAAGGGAAATAAAGAGGGTTTCCAACTTTGAATTGTTACAGATGTCTAGCTTTGATATAAGGAAATTTTATGCTCAAATACTTGAGGTATTAAGACAACGCAAAAAAAAAATCTCTTAAAATGTTATAGCATTTTATTTGTCTATAAAACAGTATAACCTTACTGAACGCCTCATATGATTTTATATGCATACTTATAAAACTGGAAAGCAGTGTGCAGTTGAATGATGGTGCATTTTTGATAGACTTTTAGCACAGTACTGTGCATAATTTTGCTAACCTTCCCCTGAGCAAACCTTGCAAAATTCATCATTTTCCCCTCCTGCTTCTGCTTCTTAACATTCTAGAAGTCCAATGCAAGAAGCACTGGATGAATGCTACTTTTATGAATCTTTTCCTCTACTAAGAGCTAGGAAAGAATAAAAATCCTACATGAAGAAAGTTTAAATTTGTCACTCGCTTCATCTCCAAGCCGATCCAGCTGGTGCTTCCAAGTGACAGAGAACCTGCCTGGCTGCTACTCAGAAGCCAGCCCTCGGAGAAACCCCTAAGACCTGAAGCAGTCACAACTCAGTGGGGAGCACTCAGTTCTCCAACTCAAAGTGAACCACTGTCCACATACAGAGATGTGAATACTCTCGCACTGGAAGAGCTTTTTTGAGGAAGAGATGTTAAAGCAAGATCTAAATCCTTTTCTTGCTTCTACTGAGTTTTCTTTAAGGACAGAGATGTCAACCCTGGTACCTTTACCCACATCACCCAGAAGAAGTAATTTTTTCTATTCTAAATAAATGTCCTCTGCAGTTTTATTGAATAAAGAACAAACGTAGCCATTATACTGTTCTTGTACTGTGAGGACTGAGCTGCTTTTCATTTCAGAGAAGGCTGCTGTCATCTCTATAGATAGTTTATAAAGTGCTCTAGAATACTGAGATGTGAAGAAGCTTTAAAAATATAGCAGTTTTGATTTATGCCACTGCCTGATATTTTTCACTCATTTTACTTACAAGTAATTTCTCACCTGTTCCAAAATCCAGCATTATTTTCATAATTCTGAGGCACGATGTTAGACAGGTAAAACGTTTCGGCCATGGCTGTCTGCACGCAGAAAGAAAGTAATATAATTTAATTGAAATACTTACAAGCTGAAAACATATTTTAGAAGTTTTTGAATCAGAATCCATTTCTAGTTAAGTCTTAACATTATCAACATAAACAGTCAGATAAAACATAAGTCAGAATACCTACAAGATTAGTTTGGTTTAAATGGGGCATAACTGAGGTGCAAACTTTGCAAAATAACTCTTTTTTTTTTTTTTAACAGAAACATAGCACAAGAACATCCAATTCTAGAGGCACATAGGAATTACTATGTTGCCCAGTATCAGTTTTGTAATGCCTCTGAAGGAAGCAGATACTCCTCCTTTTGAATGGGACGTGTTCCTTCACCCATGCTTTTCATTTATTTGACTGCCTAATGGCTACCTTTTTCTTTCCCTTACAAGGAAAAGTTTTATTAAAAATATTAACCATTATTTTGTAAACACTTAACATGCAAATGATGAAATGATTTATGAGACCATAATGGTCAAATATCTACACATCTGCTTAATTTTATCTTTAAAAAGAGTCGAAAAAGTTTTATTAAAAATATTAACATTATTTTGCAAATACTTAACATGCAAATGATGAAATGACTTATGAGACCATAATGGTCAAACATCTACATATCTGCTTAATTTTATCTTTAAAAAGAGTCACAATCCTCTCTGAACTGAAGCTCACATATCTCCAGATGCAAAGGACCTGGTGCTAAGAAACTACACATATGCAGGGAAATGCAGGAGAATAAATGTCCAAGATCTTAACCCAGAATGTTCAGAGGTCCTGTATTTGGCAGTATTTTTCACATATTACTTCTTCAAAGTGTAGGGGCTGAAACTCCTCAGGATAATGAGCAAACACTACCTCCGCTAATTAAACTGTGAAATTAAATTTTTATAATCCTGTATTTGAAAGATTGTATCATCTCACTGCATTTCAAGCCAGGTCCAAGAACTCTCTGCACAGGTAGCTCACTAGAAAAAAAACCTCCTCAGGTATCACAAATAAATAACCACAAAGACACAGAAATAAAATGACTGGCTCTTTCATCCACCACATGCCACTGTGCTGTCACTCTGCCCCACTGCATACTACTCTGCCTGGCAGACATACAAATTCAAACTGCTTCTTAATTGACAAATTACTGCATTAGGCACATTTCACAAGAGGATCCAATAAATCCAAGGCTGCTTTGTTAGTCAGCCAAGGCATTAGAGCATGCTTTTCTTACAGCTTAAATAAATGGCAGGTGAAGACATTTTATAGACTGAAAGAACTATGGCAAAAGAAGGTTCTAATTTACCTCATACACATTGCCAGAAAGGAAAAAGCCTTTTAAATCATCCAGGCAATCCCCTTGCCAATACAGAACAGTACTTAACAGTGTCTTTGCTTTGCCCAATCTAGCCTTAAACATCCCAGCACCTGTTGGTCAGGATGAAGTCATCGCTCCCTGTCTCCCTTTAACCGAGCTTCAGAAGACACTCTGGAGGCTTGTTTGGTGAAGGTTATCACCTGCCTTTTACAACCTGACATAGAAGAGGTTGAGAACACTATACAGTACCAGATACATTCACACCATCTTTGCCAAACCAGTTAATATAGGTGTGATTTAATGAAGAGAGGTATGTCACCAAAGGTTGCACCTGATTTAGATGCCTGAAGCAGGCTGTGAGAGCATCCTACAGTGCTCAGTGAGGAACAGAACTCGTAACTCCCAGCCCAGCTCTGTGCATCAACAATGAGACCATATTCTATCTCAAAACAAACTGCAAAAGGAACGTTACACATTGCTTCTACGGGTCTTTTGACCCTTTCCGACTCATAAACACAGATTAAAAAGAAAGAAAAAAAAATCCTACTGTTGAAAATTTGTTGTCTCCTGCTGGTGCCATGTGTCCTCGTGACCATCCGCTCCCAAGGTAGTCTTCATTGACAGCACTAAACATTAGAGGGATGTTAGGATCTGGTCTGAATTTACAGTGCCTTCGGTCTGCGTTGCCTGAGAAATAACACACTGAATTGTCAGGTTATCATTAAACCATCGTAACAAAAGGACACAAAGAATTGGTTCTGTCACATCTTGTCAAACGACCCATGCTTAAGGATTCAACACATCTATCTAAACTTGGTATTTTTCTCCTCAACCATAAAAAAAGAATAATTCTGCTTAAATATCAGTGCTCCGCTTCAAAATTCTTCCCAGTACAGATTCGCTTTTTAGGACAATGAAGAGCTGTGTATCTTCACCAGCTGCAATTCCATTTTCATGTTTGAGGCACTACAAGTGGCATTTTTTCCAAGTCTAGCCTGGAAGTAGAATGGATGCATCTTGATGAAGTTACACTTGCTAAAATGACAAATCCATTCAAGCGACAGACTTAAGTCATTTTTTTCTTCATGGGCACAGAAATAAGCGTAGAGCTTTCCCGTTCCTTTCTGGGATTCTCCTTCTGCCTTTCCAGACATTTGGAATTCGTGCACAAAAAAGACAAGGCCTAAGATTTCTGGAAGATAAAAAACTTGGTGGGGAAAGGGTTGTGGGGGGAGCTAACACAACTGTTGCAGAGATGGCAGCCCACTCTAAGCTGATATCTTTTCTAGGGAGCTTGTGACTTCTTCCCATGTTTACTGGCCATATACCTATATTTGTGTCCTTGCACTGTATAAAGGCCCAGTCAACTCCTTAAAAAAGAAATTAATTTGAGTAGGCTGCAACTTTGAGTCTATTTCATCCCAAACACTGACTGCTTCCTTGGAAAAGCGATGGCCAGAAGGGACTTGAATGAATCATTTTGGCACTGACGACCTCCAATAAGACACCATCTTTCAGAATTCTTACTTCTTTAAAAATTTTATTTAACCTCTGCATTTAAGGCAAAGGGAAATTTACCGATTAAACTTGAAAAATGGAAAATATATCCTCATTTATTCTCTATTCACTGCTTTGATAAAAATGAATAATTTCTTCTGCAATCAGATTTGTACATCTCATTTACATGTAAAGCTAATTTCTTTCCACCATGTTTTTAAACATTTAAGTTCTGACTTAACAATAATTTTTTTTTACAGCACATAGTTTCAAACTCCAGTACATGAAAGCTTTTTGTGACCTTCCCTGGACAACACAGTTCTGCCTCAAATCTCAATTAGAATAGCTATGAAACATAAATTGGAGCTGAATGCCTCAAGATATTTAATTTCAACTTGCAGGTTAGTTGCATGTGATCATTTGGAAAACATTTTAACAATTCAGCTCTTAAGGCCCACTTGAAAATAAGCCTGGAATTACTGCTTTCTTCTCAGAAAGAAGTGGAATCAACGATGTTACTTAGGGGCTGGTTATAAATATTTTCAGGATCACGCTTTTAATTTTGAAGGGTAATTTGAAGACAGTGATTAAGATATATTTAGAGGGCTACTGCGTTCATAAAACACTTTACAATTATACTGTTACCTCCATTACTAATAATTTGCCTTATAAAAACTGAACTAATGCTATAAACTTAATTTACAATGACTGTATACCATTCATATTTCATTCACCGTTGACAGCAAAAAAGCACTGAGCCTCTGTCTTGCATAAAGAACGGGGAAGAGAGTATTAGATAATGCACATCAGAAAATACAACAGAACTGCATCAAAGTAAATAATGGCTGCAGTGAGTAGGTATGCCCTGTCTAGCTTTGAACAATTACAACTGTTGCTGCCCTTTGCTCCATTTCTCTCTCACAGATGGATATTCATCTGTTCTTCCCATTCTAAACAAATTTCTTTAAGATGAAGATGTTTCTGTAGACCTGACTCCACAAGCATTCAGACATATGGAGCAGGACCTAAACTGACATAAATTGGCCCACAGAACTAACTACACAAGCTAAGGAAGCAAGAGCAATTTTAAGTGCCTGAGCAATAACACTGAACTTTGCAGGTCTGAATCAGGTAGGAAAAGTTTCATTTTCAGTTTTTCATCTTCTCTACAGTCATGTTTTAAAGGGGTAAGTTAAGCTTCCCTCCTGGAACATGGCTTACAGTACTTACACCAACCCAGATATATAGGTATCTGGTGCTAACAGACTGTTTCAACAATTCATAACTGAAATTTCTCACAGAAGGTAGCTCTAGTTCTTCTTCATTCCTCCCTTTCATACTCAGCCCTTGGGCCAACTCTATCTTAGAGGCTTCAGGATGTTGCACATTCAATATCAGACTAGTCCCAACAAGAGAAAGAACACTGAACAAGCCAGTCAACCAGCAGTGACAGATTTCTTTTAAATCGCTGGCAACATCAGTCTTAATGCTGTCACGAAGCTGACATCCACCCAGAGGCCTGCTGCCTCCAGTCACATTGTGAATGGGTGGAAATATCCATACCTAGAGATCACTCCAGGATTTTTCACCCTGCCTGCTCCTGGGCCCAACTTCTGTGAACTGCAAAGCCCACTCTGGTGCCCTAAATGTAAGAAAATAAATACCAACATACCCAGTGTCTTCTGTTTTGAAATATGTTCAATCACCCATCTAGGCACCCGTTTTGCCTGGTCATAAGACAGTGCATGATTTGTGTAAACTCTGGTCTCTGTTCCAGCTTCAGGGAATCCATATTTTTCCAGCAGAGTCTCTTCTACTGGTTCTAAGGAGAAAAAAAACCAAAAAACATTCAAAGATTAAACGTGATCAGAAATACAACAGTAAAAAAAGCATCTCAGTGGATGTAGACATACTATACAGGGAACTACTCGAGGGTACTGCCACTATTATGACCTAAAAATTATTAAGGGAGCTATCCAATGAAAATCCCTTCTACCAAATAAGTTGTGCTCTTCATCAAGTCCTCACATGAGGACATCAACTCTAGGACTAGCTCATCCACTCTAATGCCCACACACATCTACATAGCAATTGCTGTGGGCTGGCTTTCAAAAGAAAAGCTATCAGATATTTAGGGACAACTCGGGCAACAAGGAGTTAGAGACACAGGAGATCACCACGCACTTTTCACCCTTCAGAGCTGGAAATCACACTCCTCCTCACAAACTGCAATGTACAAGTTGAGCACAAGCACCAGTCCTGCCCTCACTGGGAACACTTACACTCTGTTAAATGAATGAAAGTTTCACTTTTGAGATTATTTTTTTTTTCAAGTAACATTTTTTTCTCTCACGGAGGAATATTTACATCCGTCTTACTGACTTCCTCGTCCTCCAGCCATCTGTTTGAGAGCAACTCAGGCTTTTAGAGCCATTCTTCCTGTGCTTTCTGATGCTCCAGAGAAATCTAAAGCCTTAAGGCTGCAGCAAAAACCTCTAATTCCCACCAGGCCCTGGAACCCCCACACAGCCCCGTCCCCACACCTTGCACCCCCAAAGCCCTCATTCCCCCACAGCAAACGGGCCAGGGCTTCCCCAGGCCAACAGCCACCACTCCTTGGTGGCCTCCTCTGGCCCGACGGCCTGACCTGAACTATGTGTTCATAGTAAACGTTCTCCATCACTACACAGGACGTTTGCAGCCGTCGTGGTAGCCACAGAAAACCCCTTTCCTCGCCTGTCACCACCACTTTGGTGCGAGCAGGCACAGCAAGGAGAACCTGCCTTCCTAATGAAGCGAGTTACAGCTCAGCGTCCCCAAACAACCTCCCCCCCGCTCCGCCCGGCGCAGGAACTCGGGGAACTGCCCGCCCCGCTCTGAGCACCGAGGGATGGAGGGACCGGGGAGAAGGCTGCTCTGAGGAGAGGGGAGCGGGTTTAGAAGCGGGGGTGCCTGTGGGGATCGGGGCCGCGCTGAGGCGCCGCCGCTCCCGCCCCGCGGAACCACGGGGTCGCCGCGCCCGGCCTCCCCTCAGCCCCGCTCCGCTTACCCTTCGGCAGGGTTCGCCCGGGGACCGGCTCCGGCTGGCTCTGGCTGCGGAGGAGCCACCACGCAGCCCAGCACGAAGCGGCGGCGCCCGCCGCGGCCCCCCAGAC